CCGCCTTCTGGATCTCGGATCAGAGTGAGCGCTATATCCCAATAGCGAAGGTAGAGGAGTGCCCCTGGACGGCTTGCAGTGATGGCTGCGAGTTGGCAGAAGAAAAGGATCTGAATGCGCTGCCAGCCGCAGTCAAATGTCATCTCAGTAGTAGTCAAGAGAATGTGTGCAAACTCAGCAACATCTTCAATATACATGTTCTTCTTTGGTCGCCTGTCGAGCTCAAGGCTCTTCTCTTTGGCAATAATGGCAATGACCTACATATTCATTGGTGGCTGTTCCTTCTTTGGCCAGAGCAGAAGGGAAATTATATACTCACATCTTGCACCTTGACAATTATGTCTTGACTCAGTCCTGATGCTGTCTCCTGTTTTAGAACAAGATGCCAACACTCCCAGAATGACTCAAGCAAACTCTTGTATCCAATGCCTGGACAGTGCTATCCATTCTTGCCATGACAGATATCACACCGCCAGCCAAAAAATGCATACAGGAAACAGACCGTCTCATCCAAGCCTGAGATCCATTGCCAGTGCTGTACCGGGTCGACACCAATATACCGACAATATCTACCAGGAAGTCACCAGTGAGCTTTCAACATGATTTGATGGCCAAGAGAGTTATCTACCTATTCCAGTACATGCGGGTCTCATCGAGTCTTTCCTGAGTGGCGTCGCTGTACCGCTTCTGTCGAAGCTGAGAGACATTCAAGCTCTCTGCTTGGGCCAAATAGTGTTCACGAGGCAACTGGCCCTCATCGTCGAAGATACCATCGTCGACTTCATCTCCATCTTCATCATCCGAATCCTCACTATCAAGTTCCAGGTCGCTGGTGGAGTCACTATCAGAGCCGTTGTCTGAAAAGATTTCGGTCAGGTCGGAGCTGGCATCGGTCTGATTTTCTTTGTCGTCAGATCCGACCGGTCGGGAGCGAGGCGCCATGGTTGACACAGCCCGCAGGGATGCTCATGAAAGGATGGATGGAAGCAGGGAAGGACACTGTCAGCACAATGGGATTTATAAATTCGAGAAAACATTAGTGGTCGAGGGGAGCCAAAACTGGCTACCCTTTGCGACCGTAGCGAGAGCGTCTTGATAGATGATGTTGAACATAGCAACAAAAGTCCCATTTGAGACTAGCGTCGAGGGGCGTGAAACCCGTGGCTTGGCGTGGAGGGAAAGCCTGTGGCCGTGGGAATACCCTCCCCTGATACCAAGACGGGAGTTGGTTATCAGGACTCCTATAACGGCCACCGAAGTAGCCCTTTTCGGCCGCCTGCTAACCTTCACATCAGTAAATGGAGTTGTTTGCTCGCGTTCATTCTTTCTTGCATAGAACCACATATTATGTGGCTACTATGTAATTGAGAGGGCTTAGAGATAAGAAGATACATATATATAACTATATATAATCAATATTCTGTTAGCATTTTAAGTGGCTTGCTCCATACTCGTATTCCGTAGGGCACTCCGCTCTTGGCGCGATAAGATCAATTGGTGCCAGCTGGATTCATCTTTCTTTCAACGTCCCTGGAAATGCAAAAGGAGATCGCACACAATGACTGAGCTTGGGATATCATGGGGGACGTATGTGTTCTTTCTCTTCTAGGCGGAAAAGTATTTTGCTGATGTGAAAACAGTGTCAAGTCCCTCCTCATCTTCTTCGCCCCGATCCTCATTCCCCGGGCAATCAACCTCTATCGCGACTTACGAGGCACAATAGCTTCTCGACAGTCTCCTCGTCCTCTTCCAGCTTCTGCTAATCGAGCGCTGAACGCCCTATTTTTTGCGATTACCTTCTTCCTACTCCTCAGTCTGCCGTTCAACCCCCGAGCTCCGAGTCCGAACATCTTCACGCAAACCGCCTCGCGCATTACCACCCCGACCGATATTATTTTTACTCGATTGGCTAGATTCCGGCCGGAGAATATCCTGACACCTGCGGATGAGGCCCTGAAGGCGAAGTTTACGACTATCGTGGCCAGGAAGATATACCTGCGGTTTGGACCGGAAGCGTTGTCACAGTGTCACTTCTGCTCGTTTGACCATGTCGGAACTTACATCCTCTACTACCTCCCGTTTAATACGCTACTGCCACATCTGCTCAATATGCTCGTCGTGGGACTGGTGACATCCGCCCCGTTCGCCGGTCGCGACGCAGCCGGCTGGCGCAACAAGTTTACTCTTGCCGGGCTCGCCCTCGCCGCACTCGACATCTACATCGTGGCAACCTACGATCCCATCCAATACGCACCGGCTATCGTCCGGGCTGGAATGGCTGCCCCCTCCGATCTTTACCACCAAATTGGCCTACTGCGCCCTCTGCTACTCACCATCTTCGACAGCGTCTGCGCGGGGCTGATCTACCTCTCCGCCACGAACCGCCTCTTCTTCGAACCCCCCTCGCAGGCGGAGCAAGTCGGACAACTCGTGGACATGTCACTGCCCACGATCGCGCAGGCCAGTTCGAAGTTGCATGCGTTGAGCGTGACGCGGAATGCGGTGGTGCGGGACAAGGCACTGAAGGACCACGACGATGCGTATTGGCAGGCGGTGGTGTCGATGAACGGAGAGAACGCGGGCGGGGGTGTGGTCGAGAATGGAGATGCGAGTATCTGGGAAGAAGAGGAAGTGGTGCGGGCCATGTCACAGGCAATGGCTGGACAGGGAAACGTGGATTTGGCCAAGTTGGGGGTCAATGCGAATGAATATGTGAATGGGGTGACTGCTGCTCTGGATGAGTAGTGAGTTGGCCTGTGCAATGGTAATATAATAAACTTGATATATTTGGTCCCGCATAGAGTTATGTCTGTACATATACCGTCTTTCGTGCAGTAGTAGCCTTCCGGTAAAGTTCAGATCAACCAGTTCGAGAGCCCAACGGAACTCGTGAAGCAGCCATTGGCCTTGAATTTCGGCGGTGAAGTAGTTTGGCTGCGACAGACGGGGTGTGTGGGCCACCGCATTCCCCTCAATCTCTGTGCCGTCTCCTTGTTTCGTGCCATTGCTATTATTTTGTCAGTCTGTTTCTTCTTTTGTGTGAGAATAATTGTATTCTACAATTACTCTGTACATTCTTGTTGGGATATAAGCCAGCTCAACCAAGTACCCGCATCGGCGGAACCGCGGGTTGAATGTACCACCGATCCCTCGTCCACAATCCCGTTGTTGTTTCTTCTCTTCCGCTCCCCGAACTATTGTGATTCTTACTCTGCAGCATTCAATTCGTTTCTCCTCCGTGCTATGTCTGTCATGGCAAAAGACGTGTCGCCGTCGCCGTCGCCCTCGGTTGCGGACCTCAATGCCTGCGTCTCGACTTCCACCGGCGGCCACCATCACCATCACCGGCCTGTTGCTAAAGAGACCACCTTTCGGGAATGGATGGTGGCCAACCAGATAGGTATGTTACACTACTTGTCCTGCATTGGAATGGGAATAGAAGTGGGGGAAAAAGAAATGGGACGGAAAACTGACAGCGTTTTGTCCGCAGGGATTTCACTGACGATCCTTGCCATGCTCCTGGCCTGCCATAACCTCTACCCTTCGCTGAGACCTTATACCACGCCGTTTTTCCAGTTATCGTATTATCAGCCATCGCAGAGTGTCTATGTGCAGGGGTGGGATGATTTGTACTTTGTGCTTGGTTCCGCGATTGCGTTCACGGCCATCCGGGCCATTGCTATTGAATGGGTGTTTCAACCGCTCGCTCGGAAAGCGGGATTGAAGCGCAAGGCCTCGGTGCGGTTCGCGGAGCAGGGGTGGTTGTGGGTATACTATGGGTTCTTTTGGACTTTCGGGATGGTAAGACTTCTATGCAGGTGTTGATCTATGGGCGTAGCTGGTACTGACGGAAATAGTATATCTGGTCGAACTCGAACTACTGGCTCGATTATACCGCAATCTGGAGGGAATGGCCCGCAAGGGGTGTGTCTGGGACTTTGAAATGGTATCTGCTCGTGCAGCTGTCGTTTTGGGTGCAGCAGATTCTGGTGATCAATATTGAGGAGAGACGGAAGGACCACTACCAGATGTTGACCCATCACATTATCACCAGCAGTCTGTTGGGCTCTGCGTACATCTACGGCTTCTACAATGTCTCGAATGTGGTGTTGTGTTTGATGGATATTGTGGACCTTTTGCTGCCGGTAAGCTGGGTTTACTTGAATCCCAAGGGTATTAATGCTAACTACTGAGAAGACTGCCAAAATCCTCAAATACTTCAAATACGAAACGAGCTGCAACATCGCCTTCGGAGTCTTCATGTTCACATGGCTCATCGCCCGCCACGTCCTCTACCTTCAACTCTGCTGGTCCATCTACAGAGACGTCCCCGCCGAGATGAACTACGGCTGCTACTCCGGTACCACCGCCGAAATGCTCACGACAGACGGATACCCCGACCAATGGCAATACCTCTTCTCCCCGTTCCTGGATATCGACGGACCTATCTGCATGAACCGGACTATCAAGTGGATCTTCCTGTCGTACCTGATGTCGCTGCAAGTGCTTTCTCTGATCTGGTTTGGGATGATCGTCCGTGTTGCCGTCGGGGTGCTGCGCACCGGGAATGCGGAGGACACTCGTTCCGATGAGGAGGATGAGGGAGTTGAGTCTCCTGGGCAAGTCCAGGTTTCCAGCAAGGATGGCTCCGCGGGGACGACCATTGCCGCTGACAGTGCCAGCGCAGACTGGCGACGGGCCAACAGTTCCTCAAATATGCGACCCCGTGGTCGTGGACGTCTTCCGCTGGAGCAAAGTGATCGGAAGGCACTGCTTGGTCGCATTGGATGTGATAAGCCGACCTAATCGCCCATTTATTTTTCTTGACATCTTCTTTGAACTCTCATTTTTCTAACGCTTAACGTTTCTTTTCACGTCATGAATATGCTGCTACGTTGATATCATGGATGGATGGTTTTCATCAAAAGCACACGCACATATACCTGAAAACGATCCCAGAGGTCTCATCTGAGGACTGTTTGTTGATTGATTGATCTGATTTGACTCGATTTGATTGCTTTATGCTTGTTTTTATTTGATGGATACCATGGTTAATTGTTTGCGTTTGTCTGATTCATATTACAATGCAGTCTCAAGTACGATATCATTGATTCCAAGTTATAAGCTATACACTGGTGATCAACATCTGCTCAAAAACTGCCTTAAGCCTCTCTAATAATCCAACCACCTCACATCTCATTAGGCTTCTTCAGTCATTCAACGAATCCCGCATCCTTACGTACCTCATTCCTAAATTTAAATTGAGTGTGTAAAAGTATATCTGTAATCTTTATCATCAAAATCGATATCCATCCATTCTCCATGACCTTCCACTTGTTTTTCCCATAAAAATTAACTCTCTGATTCATTGCCTTGATGAAATTCCACGACAGAGACCCCGTCTTCATTAACAACATCAGAAGAAACACCATAATACTAGTGTTTCTCAAACGCCTCCTTCCACTAGACAGCTCGCTCACGTTTCACATCCATGCCTGGGACTTCGCGGCATCTTGTGTCTTGTTTCCTGTCTGATGCTCATAGCTGGTCGAGCCCGCCATGCGCTGTGATGTTGCCATGGAATACCCTTTAGTAGCTTTGTTGAAAACATCGGTACGCTCCCGGATATCATAATAGAAGTTATGAACCGCCGTGCGAGTGTGTAACAGATGAAGGTTTCCCCCAAAGCTGGATTCAGTGTAATGTACATAGTTAAACTTCGTTGATTTACTATGCACAAGCCTTCGCCTCCAAGTCCTCCAAGTTGAACCCCAATATAAAGCGACAAAGCAATGATATTCATCTAGTTAGCATGAGTGCCCGCCCCCTTTTTGAGCACTTCAGCGAAGATTCTAGGGATGGTATGAGGCCACAAATCGTGCATATAGGGCTGGAGATCCAAATTTTCTAGCTAGTGCGACTCTGTAGGGGTCTTTCGGTCTATAAGTATGTAGAACTTCATTTTCTCTTAAAGATAAGCCTGCATCTGGCGAGCTAGTCGTGCAACTCAGGAATCCACTACGCAAATGCCGCTTTCAATGATATCTTTAACTTGATCAACTACTGTCCTCCAACATATTCGGTAGCATCATATCTGCGGGAGTGAGATGTTTGATTGTGGGTTTCCGGAGCGAATGACAGGCAGGATTTTCTTGTTCGCGGCAATAGTTGTCCCAGGCTTTTTACTCACCCCTGCATATTCGGAAATCAGCTATACAGATCATTGGCTATGTTTTTTAACGTTTCTTATGACGGCTAAGTGCCCTTGCTCGAAAGCTTCCTAGGCCACTCCAATGTTCCGCGGACGGGAGTTCTCATTCTATTTGTTGAGTTCACGAAGTACGTGCAACCTCGAAGGCCGGCTCGAAATGAAGAATAGCCTGGCCGACTATTACCCAATTATAATTGGTGTAGTCTTTTCATTCCGAGATGTAGGCGCAGAAATAGGCTCAGGACGACTTTTGGGCCTTAAGGCATAAACTCCCTCTTTCCATCTAGGGCTCTGAATTGCTTGTCCATTAACCATCTGGTAAAACCGGTCACACTTGAAGCCATTTGTTTTCTGTTGGCCATAGCCAAATTCAATCAACGATATGGCCTCGAGAGGTTGCGCTTGAGATCATGACAAATAACCGAGCACATAATTTATTCCACTGAAGTAACTCGTGCAGAATTGAGACACCATGCTCCTCCATCTTCTCCATCTTCTTGACCTTCAAAATCTCCAGCTCGTTGGCTGTATTAGCACTTTCTTTGTTGGCGGGTCCCGAAGTCCAGAAGTTTCGCACTGTTCAGAAAATCCATAACTGTAACGCATTGCCGATTAAACATCTACCAGTTATATGCTTGTAGTGTCGTCTCTCCGTTTGCAAGCCCGGCAAATTAAATCACATATTAACTTTGTTGGCATCCAGTTTACTCTGGCAAGCTTGTTTAGGACAATCGAAAGCTTCTTGTAAGAAGTCGAATGAAAGATACCCCATAAAAACGTCAAGAGCACCCTTCCATTGCACCTCTCGTTCTTGTTTGACCGAGCAATAAAACAGCCCACGAACCCGTAGGCTACTATATTTCGTTGGCTATTGATAGCTCTTCTATCTCTTTGACCATCCACTCATCCGTCAATTGTGGCTTCTAGTGACGAAAATCATCTTGGACGTTTGAGAATCCAAGCCGTTGAAGCTTTCTCGGAAAGAACTTGCAGCATTTGCCTAATAGGCAAGCCTGGGTCGTTGCCGGTGCTTTTGTCTATCCGTAGACATAGATTTTTGTCCTCGTAAAGTTTGACATACGTTCATCAGCAATCTTTCTTGTCCTGTTTGGGTTGCTCATGATAGACTTGAAGTAACAAGGTCAGTCTAATCGAGCAGAAGCCCGTCGCCTATTTGGCGCAAATCGAGTCTAACACGCACGTCAACGAGGGCAAGACGTAGATTCATTATCATAAAAGGACTATCGCCGTAGCGCATGCGCTGATTATCAATGATGATAGGTGTACGGAATAGGAGAAGATGAAGAAGTAGATCTTCCCGCACTCCTGTACATACTGCAGAGTGAATTCAGAGTACAATCCATGTATAACTTAATCCTACAAGCATTCACTACATAAATTATGCCCCTACAGCCTTACCCAGTCCCAGAATTCAGCCGTACCAACCTAAACACCCCGCCCTCCCGGGCTAATCGGACCGGCTCCAACTCGCCAAACTATCGCGGCTAATAAGCTTGAATCCAGCCCGGTTGTTCTGGGTTTAACTTTTGCGGTCAAGCGTAAGGAATTTACGCCGTTGCCAATCTAGTACCGTAGTCTGTGGAGTGTGGATGTATGTGCAGAGTATAGTGTGTATAATAGGAGTAACTAAGGGATTGTTGTGCAGAACTACGGGGTACGGTCTGTGCTTGATATAAAGATAGACAGTCCGAATTATAGATTGTATGCATGTAGCTAAGCTAAATGATTTCGTCGTAAATGTACTATGTACAAGCGTTCGTTTCCAAGTCGTTCAAGTTAAATCCCAATGTATAGCGAAAGTGATGGTATCAGAGTAAGAAAGTTAAATGGTGAAAGAATGTCGGTCAGAAAAGTAAACAATAAAAAAGGAATGAGAGTTTAAAAAGCAATCGTCACAAAATGTATCAAGCTTTTTCTCTTTTCTTTAGAATTCTTTCTCGAGTGGTGGTCGTGGCTGACTCGGGGGTGGAGATGTTGGCTCCGACGATGGTCCTGAGGAGCTGCTGGGTACTGAAGTATGGCAGATCTCGCCGGTCTTCAGGTCGACCTTTTCGAAGGCCGATGGTGCGCGGGTGTGACTCGAGGCGACATCGTAAGTGCTGGGGACGTTGATGGTTTTGTTCATTGCTTCGGACCACGATTCCATCTCGACGGTTCGGAGCACCTCGAGGCGAGTGTCTTGGGCTTCCAGGTCGCCGCCGTTGGCGTTCGAGGCGAGTGCGTTCGAGAACTTCGATGGACCGGGAGACCAGAGTTTCGAGGCACGCTTGCTGGACGAGTAGGCGTACTGGCGGGTGGTTTGGAGCAGACGGGGGAGAAAGGATGCCATGAGAGGTCGCAATGCTGGTGCAGAGGCACAGATCTATACTTTGTTAGTTTCTGCAGTTGTAGAAGATAGAGCTTAAAGACATACCAATCCCAAGTTGATCTCGACAGCAGCGGACAACAAAATCGGCCAGCCCATCCAGGTCGCATCGTAGGTGCCAAGCATACTCTCGTAGACATAGGCGGTACGGATGGAACCGGCGACGTTGACGACGATACCCAGACCGAAAATCGACATGACAGCAAGTCGTTGCCGGGCGGGCAGCTTCAGGTTCCAAATCAATGGCATGGGGAGGACGGTGCACATGAAATCGGTAAGGATGTTGATAAGACTGGCGGAGAAAACAGCGGCGCCATCGTTAAGGCAAGTATGGGGATATTCGGGCTCCAAGTCCCAGAAGGCATGAATCGGGCGACACTGGAAAATGCTGACCAGTTCGAACAAGATACAGCAGATTCCCACAAAGACCATCGATCCGATCAAAACCCAATAGTATGCTTGGTACAGGCCCTTGGCTCCTGTGCCAATCAGACGCTTGCAGAACCAGAGGAGCGACAACTTGGTGAAGCTAGAGGACACGGAGAATTGGACTTGGAAAGCTAGGTTCAGCTTCTGCACGGTCGGAAGCCAGCCCATAGGGATATCCCAGATGTGTCGATCCCATCCCCAAACCTGAGCGGCTAACGAGGTGACGACGCACATTCCGATAGCGAAGACCTAGGTTTCTTAGTTAGCGACAAGTTCCTATGCCTCGGATGCAAGCCTATGGGCACCATACCAGAGCGACCACAATGAAGATATCATCCAGTCCCGGTGTGCATGTGATTCGTAACCGAGTATACAACCGTAACATCGTCAAGAAGAACGCAATACTCATGGTGACAATGTTCACGATCAAGACGGCCGGCCCCCGAGACACCGGATCGACGTAGTTTGGCAGAGGCCATGATAACAATACTTCCATCGGAGGAAGCTGCATGATGGCGGAGGGTGAGGTGTAAGAATAAAGGAAGGAAATGTAGGAAAGGGCGAATGAGTGTGAGTATACAAAGTCGCAAAAGAGGCCTTTAAAGAACGGATGGGGCTTGTACAAGGTTTCGAAGGTCGTTTTAGTTGGAGTCGAGCATAACCACCAGGAACCACTTGAGCTGAGATCTAACAATAATCCACATGGGTCATTGTTCACACCGGATTCCGATTTTTATCTTTTGACTTTCAAGTGGCAGGCATATGAAACGCTTGTCTCGA